TTTTTTTTTTTTTTTTTTTTTTTTTTTTTTTTTTTTTTTAGATCCTTATTTATTTTTGAGACAGAGCATGAGCAGGGAAGGGGCAGAGAGAAAGACACACAGAATCCGAAGCAGGTTCCAGGCTCTGACTTGTCAGCACAGAGCCCGACTCGTGGCCCAACTCACAAACCGTGAAATCATGACCTGAGCCGAAGTCAGACACTTAACCAACTGAGCTACCCAGGTGTCCCAGTCTTTTTATTCCCTTTTAAGACTAAAGCTAATATAGTTAGCTTTCAGGATTTAAGAAAGTCATGTACAAAAAATAAGCATTATTTTTCCTTGCAGTATCACTGAGACTTAAAATACCAATAATAAAAATAAAAATAATAACTATTATTTCCAGTTAGGCTTTTGGTTCATAAAAATAAGCAATATACAACCTACAATTTATTTTTTGTATATAGTTCTTTCAAATACAGTTTGAAAACTTTTTATTTCATAGTTTAAAAGATATGGATAAGGAGGCATGTCGTAAAAGAATACGCAACTGCGATATATACAGAAATTAAAATATATAAAAAATGTGATATATTAATTTGTAATGAAATTCTATGCAGCAGTTAATGTTCACAGACTAAACTAATGTGAATCAAAAAGAACAACTTTCAAAAACATAAGATTGAGTGTAAATAGAATGGCAGAAAGTTATGTCTAGAATACCATTTATGTAATTTTTTAAATGCCCAAAACATTAAAAGCCTTCATATATATGCAAGAACATAAAGATTATATATACACTTAGTTCACAAGAGTTCTCTCCCAAAATGAAAAAAAAAAAAAAAAAAAAAAAAAAGGCCCAAGATGGCCAAATAACACTTTCACAGAGGTTTGTAATAGCAGCTGCCTGGGGCACCTGAGTGGCTCCGTCCACTGAGTGTCCAACTCTTGGTATCCGGTGGGGTCATGATCTCACATTTCCCCTAACTGGGCTCTGTGCTGACAGTGCAGAGCCTGCTTAGGCTTGTCTCCCCCTCTCAATCTCTGCCCCTCCCCCCACCTCAAAATAAATAGTTAAAAAAAAAAAATAGCAGCTTCCCTAACACCTCCATATCTCACCACCCCAGACCGTGGGGGTGCTCACCCCACTTCAGTCTAGTATCCAAGATACCTAATGCTCAACAGCAGAAACTCCAAGGCCTGCCCCAGTGCTAGGAATGGCAAAGATTCTTACTGGTTGATGTCTGATCTTGTTAAATTTTTTATATCATCCGTCCCAAGAGCTGGGGATGGGATCAAAAGTTACACAATGGTCGTTAACTGTTACCAGTCAAGTTTGATCTCTTTTAAAAGAAGAAGTGAAGCAAACCGGGGGGAGGGGGGGGGTCAAATATAAATCTGTGTAATGGGTACGTGTGTATATACATGTATATGTAACATTTCTTTATCCATTCATCCACAACTTATTTTTACTGTAAAACATTTCTTCTCCTAGCAAAGCCACTAAGCTTGTGATTCTCATTTAACCCCAATATGGAGAGTAGGAAATAAACTACGCTAGTCTGCATTTTCATCCCAAGCTCAGACTTCATCCCCGAAGAGCTGTATGCTAAAGACAAGGTGGATCTTTCTACTGATCTTAAAAACATCAATGGAAGGGACATCAACCGATCCAAGAGGATATGTAACCTTCAGAAAGATTCTCATTAGGGTCTAGCCCTAATAAAACAAGGCTGTAAACCAAGGAGGTAATATGGTGCATGTGGAGGGACTATGGTAAAAGGTAACAGGACTCAAGACTACTTAGTTCTGCCCCCAAATCACTGTGGCCTCTCTAGTGCTGTTTCCTAATTTGGAAAATGATAGAGTTGGATCAAATTAATTCAGAGGCCCATTAGAGTCTATTTTTATATTGTTTTGGGATTATTGGGCCTCAGTGAAATGTCAGAACCACCAAAAAGGCAAATATAAACAAAATCCACTTTGAGGTTCCATTAGATTTAGTTGCTCCACTGTTCCTTATTCTAGAGTCAAGCCGGGAATCAAAAGAAATGAGAGTTCATTTGACCTCACATCTTAGATCAGTCACTAGCAAAGACATAAAAGGGTGCTCGCACTGGCAGGTGGGCAAACAGAACTGGACTTTCCTTTCTCCTGGCCCTCAACTGTGCAGGAGTTGTTGTACCTCTGTCTTCTAAGAACAGGGCAAAAAAATAAATGCCAGCATACAACTCACCACTGGGCTATTTTTCTGAGATGTGTGAGCTGGATAGATGCTTGGCTTTTGATGGCTTAGCCTCGTGGAGCCCTTTGCTTCGGCCAGTAGCAAGGCTTCCTGGATCTGAGTGGTTGAAAAACTGGAGAGGGCCTGACATGTTGGAGATAAAAGAAGCATGAAACAGATCTAGTAATGGTGATCCAAGGTGCTTCCAAGGAGAGTCTGCATAGAGCAGTCAGGAATTGCTGCTGAGGTATGCCCAGCATCTATAACAATGTCTTTAGGAAGGTTCCACTTCAGATCCACACACCTTAGCCAGACTTGAGAAGGAGATGCCCGCTGAACCTGTTGCTGGGAGACAAGGCAGATCTACCTTCTAAAGATCAAATCATGGTTTAAATTGTAACTGGTGGAAACAGCCTGCTAACGTATATATATGTGCTCATATCATATTTAAATGCTACTTATGAATCATATCTATGGAAATAAGACTTGCAAATAGCCTTCATTTTCAGTTTCTCTATCAGGATCCCTAACTATATCCCTCTGGATTCAGCCAAAAGATAAAAAGTCCAACATGAGTTCATAATGTAGCATCTGATAACTCAGAGTGCTCTTTTTGCCCCAGCAGAATGTAACTTTACACTATAATTTTCATAAATTCAATTTCCCAAGAACTTCAGTACTGCCTTAAATCCATATTCCCTACTCAGTTCAACTTCATATATTATCTTTCTTTTCTAACGTTAAAGTAAAGGCAAGAGTGGAAAGCCATCTTCCAAATTAATGTTCACATTTTATTAGACAATAAGAGATTTCTTTATTAAGAAAAGGAGATTTCTTTTTTAAGATCAGGGGATGTATGAGGGAAGGGGAGGAGAAAGCCACATTTAGAAAAACTGAAGGCCAGAGGGCTGCATGTAAGTGGGGTATGTGTTTCTTTGGCTGGTTGGTATCTCCCAGGAAATTAAACTTTCCTAGATTAAAGGCATTTTCACAGAGAAAAAAAAAATTCAAGATGTGTGACTTGAATAACATGGGACAGAAAGCATGAAGGCCTGATTTTATTCACTAACCCTGAAATCCATTTTGAAATTCCTGTATTATCTCATTCTTTTGATATTTAAGGCAATTACTAAAGTACAAATATCTCTGAGGCACCTGGCTGGCTCAGTGGGTGCAGCATGTGACTTGATCTCAGAGTTGTGAGTTTAAGCCCCATGTTGGGTGTAGAGATTACTTAATAAAATCTTAAAAAATAAATAAAGTGCAAACATCTCTAATGAGACTTTAGTGTTTTCCTCATTCTTATCATTTAATACCTACAATCATTACTACATTCCTTTTCTAAGAACCAAAGAAGAGAATTGAAAAACAACTTAAGTTTTGGTGAATGAAAGGGAGAATAAATAGCTCCTAAATTCTGGAACAAAAATGATAGTGGAGACAAACGTCTCTGTAAGAAATCTAGGGGCACCTGGGTGGCTTAGTCGGTTGAGCATCTGACTTCGGCTCAGGTCATGATCTCACGGCTCATGAGTTCAAGCCCCATGACGGGCTCTGTGCTGACAGCTCAGAGCATGGAGCCTGCTTCAGATTCTATTCCGTGTCTCTCTTTGCTCCTCCCCTGCTCATGCACTGTCTCTCTCTCTCTCAAATATAAATATAAAATTTTTTTAAAGAATTCTATCCTTTACTTTTATTTCCTTACATTTTATGAAAATTATGCTCTATTAAAAACAAAGTTACTTAATGAGTTTCATTCATATTGCTTCTAAAAACCTGGCTATATTATTATGTGGACCAAACTATACCTCCAAAAGCATGAACATATAAATTCTTCAATATCAGTTCAAATACCACCTCAGTCCCCAATTCCTGCAAGGTAAGGGTAATCTCTTTCTCTAACTCTTGTAGTGTATGATCTACACCTTCCTTTCAACTGTTAACTCATTCAATGTTGGATTATGTAAAAATATTATCTCTCCTACTGCATTAAAGGTCCCTAAGAGCAGGATCTATTTCTGGTTTATCTCTATCATCTCAAGGGTAGGCACAAAAAATACACATTGAACAACTAAAGAACCCAACAGAAAAAAAAAAATCCTTAATACAAAGTTAACTCATATGGGTAATAATACTGTTTTCCCAAGCTAACCTTATATAATAAAAATGTATTAGGAGACTACACAAAATAGAGCAATATGACAGAATTCTTCTGTGACGAGAGGTTCCTAGATGACTATTCTGTTTTTCTATTCATTTAAAAGATGTATCAATACTTCAAATGAGAAAAGATACAGTATGCTACACTTCACTATACTTCAGAATGTAAAACCATACATTTTTACCATATCAAACACAAGAGAAAAGTCCGAATTTAAGTTCAATTCCCAGAAGAAACTTGAATTGTCCAAGGTGAGTGGCAGCCTGGCACGATTTGCCAGTAGAATGTTTGCACAACAAAGAAGCTGTTTCTAGGTGAACGCATCACAGAACTCCAAGGAAGGGAAGAGTCCTTCGAAAGGGATGCAGTAAGGTAGCCCATGACTATTTCCCTAATTAATGACGTGAAAGCACAAAGCGATTTTTTTTTTCAATGTATGAAATTTATTGTCAAATTGGTTTCCATACAACACCCAGTGTTCATCCCAAAAGGTGCCCTCCTCAATACCCATCACCCACCCTCCCCTCCTTTCCACCCCCCATCAACCCTCAGTTTGTTCTCAGTTTTTAAGAGTCTCTTATGCTTTGGCTCTCTCCCACTCTAACCTCTTTTTTTTTTTCCTTCCCCTCCTCCATGGGTTTCTGTTGAGTTTCTCAGGATCCACATAAGAGTGAAACCATATGGTATCTGTCTTTCTCTGTATGGCTTATTTCACTTAGCATCACACTCTCCAGTTCCATCCACGTTGCTACAAAAGGCCACATTTCATTCTTTCTCATTGCCATGTAGTACTCCATTGTGTATATAAACCACAATTTCTTTATCCATTCATCCGTTGATGGGCATTTAGGCTCTTTCCATAATTTGGCTATTGTTGAGAGCGCTGCTATAAACATTGGGGTACAAGTGCCCCTATGCATCAGTACTCCTGTATCCCTTGGGTAAATTCCTAGCAGTGCTATTGCTGGGTCATTGAGTAGGTCTATTTTTAATTTTTTGAGGAACTTCCACACTGTTTTCCACAGTGGCTGCACCAATTTGCATTCCCACCAACAGTGCCAGAGGGTTCCCATTTCTCCACATCCTCGCCAGCATCTATAGTCTCCTGATTTGTTCATTTTGGCCACTCTGACTGGCGTGAGGTGATATCTGAGTGTGGTTTTGATTTGTATTTCCCTGATGAGGAGTGACGTTGAGCATCTTTTCGTGTGCCTGTTGGCCATCCGGATGTCTTCTTTAGAGAAGTGTCTATTCATGTTTTCTGCCCATTTCTTCACTGGGTTATTTGTTTTTCGGGTGTGGAGTTTGGTGAGCTCTTTATAGATTTTGGATACTAGCCCTTTGTCCAATATGTCATTTGCAAATATCTTTTGCCATTCTGTTGGTTGCCTTTTAGTTTTGTTGGTTGTTTCCTTTGCTGTGCAGAAGCTTTTTATCTTCATAAGGTCCCAGTAATTCATTTTTGCTTTTAATAAAGCTATTTTCATCAAGCACTAGTAAACCTAAGAACTCTGAAGAAAGTGATTCCCCTGAAAGTAAACCTTCCAGAAAATTTGGGGTCTTTTGTGAAATTCTTGAAATAGGTGAAACTTTTGTCTCCAATACCTCATTCAGGGAAGAAGTACTTTGAGAGGAAAAAATGATTTGATTCAATCTACTATTTCTAAAGCAGATGATTTGTCTGCAAAACTGATATTCTAATTCTAAGCAAATACTTTTTTACACTAGAGAAAGTGTGTCCCTAATATGTTTTTTTCTTTTTTTTAAGAAGCCACCCAGACCATGTCCCTTTCTTCTTAATCGCTCAAAGGAGGAAAAGAACCATCACCAAGGGTAAAAAGCAGCTGTAAAAGCAACACCAAAGCCAGCTTCATACTCAGGAAAGGACACTGCACCTCCTCCCTGTAGTTGTAAGTACTCTACATGTTCAGAGAAACTTCTCTAGTAATGAACTACAGAAATGATCCCTGGGCACCTGGGTGGCTCAGGTCATGATCTCCTATTTCGTGAGTTCAAGTTCCACATTCAGCTCTCCGCTGTCAGAGCGGAGCCTGCTTCAGATCCTCTGTTCCCATCTCTTTCTGCCCCTCCCCCACTTGCGTGCACACGCTCTCAAATAAACATTAAAAAAATTAAAAAAAAAAAAAAAAAGAAATGCTCCCTGAAAGTATAGTCTTCCTGTTATGTATTCTTGATACCAGAATCATTGGGATTATACTTTAAATGTCATCTTCTCATCTTCTTGGTTCTCAGCTCTGCCTGCACATTAGAATCTCAATGAAAACTTTAAAAAAAATACTGATACCCTGATCCCACCCTAAATTCTGACTTAATTGGTCTACACTGGAGCCTATGCATAACTTTTTTTCCTCTAAAGCTACACAAGTAATTTTAGTGTTGCTTTAGGATTGAGAATGACTGTTGTACTATCTTCATTTATAAATATTAAAAATGAGGCAGCACAAAGTGATATTCATTGGAATGAGAGTAATAGTTAATAACTAACCTTAGAAAGTAAGCAATATATGGGGCGCCTGGGTGGCGCAGTCGGTTAAGCGTCCGACTTCAGCCAGGTCACGATCTCGCGGTCCGTGAGTTCGAGCCCCGCGTCAGGCTCGCATCAGGCTCTGGGCTGATGGCTCAGAGCCTGGAGCCTGTTTCTGATTCTGTGTCTCCCTCTCTCTCTGCCCCTCCCCCGTTCATGCTCTGTCTCTCTCTGTCCCAAAAATAAATAAACGTTGAAAAAAAAAAATTAAAAAAAAAAAAAAAAAAAGAAAGTAAGCAATATAATTTTCTCCTAAAACAAGGTTTTAAAAATTATATCCCTAAGCAGCAGGAATAGAAGCATGAACAAGACAGTAAATGTATTACAAAGCTTACATTCTGGTGGAAAAAGTGAACAAGTATATAAATAAGATTATTTTACATAGTGATAAGAGTTGTGAATAAAATAGGCTAATGTGACAGTTATGAGTTAAATGAGTAGGCAAGCAGCTTTTGATAGTATACTCAAAGAAGGCCTGTTTTACATATATTAACATAAATTAAATCATATTATACATTTTATTGAATAACCTGAGTTTATCATTTAACAAAATGTGAAAGCTATCTTACACATCAATATGCATCCATTACATATCTATTGCTCCTTTAACCACTCTATCTGTCCTGATGAAGATTTTTTTTACTACTGAAATCAACACTGTGAGGAACACTTTTATACATTTGTACACTTTTATACTCCAGGATAAATTCCTACAAGTGAAATTACAAGGTTAAAGAAAGTATACATTTAAGTTTCTGATAGATAGTATCAGATTGTCCTCAAAAAGGTTGGAACAAATGGAGCTTCTGCAAAAGGTTGCATTTTTTTTCAAGCAACTGCCATTAAGATCATTTGAATAAAAATATTTTGTCTTTCTATTCTCTGTGAAATTATTGATTCTCAATCTTTACCTGATCTGACCAATTTGCAATATATTTGAGTTACCTCTTTTCCCATAAAACTCTTTACCTGTCTTCTAAAGTGGTATGCCTCTGTGGTTTTCCTCATAACACACTGGACTCTGCTTTCTTAAAAAAATTGTGTTAATGTTTATTATTTATTTTTGAGAGAGACTCAGCATGAGCAGGCGAGGGTCAGAGAGAGAGGGAGACACAGAATCTGAAGCAGGCTCCAGGCTCTGAGCTGTCCCTACAGAGCCCAACACAGGGCTCGAAACAATGAATCATGAGATAATGGCCTGAGCTGATGCTTAACAGACTGAGCCATCCAGGTGCCCCTGAACCTTGCTTTTCTATCTGCTCTCCAGGTTCTTCCTCATCTTCTTGAATTCTAAACACTGAAATGTCCTGGGGATCAGTTCTTGGTCCTTTCTCTATCTACACCCATTCCCTTCATGGGCTCTTATCTAATCTCATGGACTTAAATATCTATTTCATTTGGATGTCTAAGAAGTCTCTGAAAACATCTAAAACTGAATTAAAATTCAAAACCTGCTCCTGCCACAGAGCTATCTTACTTCAATTCAATATATGACAACTCCATCTTTCCAGTTGGTCGAACCAAATCCACTCTCTTACACCCCAATTTCTTCTTTTCAAACAGGTTTCTGCCCAAGTCAGATTCCCCAGAGAAGCCTTTCTTACCACATTTCTAAAACAGTACTTTCCTGCCTCTTAACCACCATTGCCCATCCTCTCAGCTTGTCTATTATTATTTTTTTATTTTTTTTTAAAATTTAATGTTTATTTATTTTGAGAGTGAGGAAGTGCGAGCAGGGGAGGGGCAGAGAGAGAGAGGGAGACACAGAATCCAAAGCAGGCTCTAGGCTCTGAGCTGTCAGCACAGGGCCCGACGCAGGGCTCGAACTCACATGCCATGAGATCATGACTGAGTCGAAGTCAGATGCTCAAACGACTGAGCCACCCAGGCGCCTCTCAGCTTGTCTATTTTTAAAAAATGATATGTCAATATCTAAAATTAGAGCATATATTTCTTTAATTGGTCATTGTTTTGTTACCAGAATATTAGCTGGGGACAGGAAATTCATTGTTTCACTATGGTATCTCTAGCACCCTGAGCAGTAATTTTTTAAGTTTGTATTTATTTTTGAGAAGGAGTGAGAGAGAATCCCAAGCAGGCTCTACGCTGACATCACGGAGCCCAACGTGAGGCTCAATCCCACAAACTATGAGATCAAGACCTGAGCCGAAATCAAGAGTTGGATGCCACCCAGGCACCCCAGTATTTTTTGTTGTTAGCACAGTAGCCACTCAATAACCATTTGTTCAATGAATGAATGAATGATATAGGTCACATAAAGATATTTTTATTGAAAACCAGGTTGTTGAGGTGGAAAAGACAATATATTTAGAAACGAAGCATCAAGGTTTGGGGCCTGTCCCAGGCACAGCTATACAGCTTTGGGCAAGTTATCCTTCAAAGTCTATTTCTCCAGCTGTAAATTGGGGTTTTGCCATCTTCCTCAGCAAACAAGACAGCTGAAATAGTCAATATGTACTTGGTATTATAAGCCACAAAAGTTTCACTACCTGCAATTTACCAGGAACATTTGCTTCAATTCTCCTCTTAATTTTACTTGTTTAGGTCAAACACAATATAAGGGTATGTGTTCAGAGGTCCTCATATTAAGATATTACATTACATCACTATATTATATATTATTTAAAAAAAATTTTTTTAATGTTTATTTATTTTTGACAGAGAGAGAGAGAGAGAGAGAGAGAGAGAGAGAGAGACCGAGCACGAGTGGGGGAGGGGCAGAGAGAGGAGACACAGAATCCGAAGCAGGCTCCAGGCTCCAAGCTGTCAGCACAGAGCCGGTGTGGGGCCCGAACTCACGAACGGTGAGATCAT